CAACGCTTGCTAGTGGGCACGTTGAGCAAAATAACAGTGAACAAAAACTTCACCTTCAGTAGAAGAAAACCAACCCTTTATAGCAAGCTGCATAAATATTTACAACTCGTCAGTTCTATATACAGTCCGTTCTATCATACATCTCACTTCAAAACAGCTATGCACAATTTGGTTGTACAAAAGATAGATTTTCCCCCCTTGTACTGTTCAAACAATAAATTGTCCATTTATCTTTTTGTTTTGTTTGTACAAATTACAAAGTTGCTAACACTAACTTCCAACTCTTGGTTGTTTTGTCTTTTTTCCTCTTTAAAACAGTTTAACATAACTTCCATTGTTGATTGCACGATCAATAGAAATCATAGCAGGTAGCACAAAGACACGTCACTAAAAACCGACAGAGATTATGCGGACAGTTTAGTATGAAGGATGTCTTTCCTTTAAGCTATCACAGACGGTGCTCAGTGCTCATCTTGTATGGAAGCGGCAGTCAGTGGATTTGCGAGCTGAAATTTGGGCAGGCTGTAATGTAGCTGACGTATCAAAATCCCGCTTGTAGGATCAGGACGTGCACGGGTAAGCACCACTGCAGCAGTGGAGGCACGTGTGAAATGGGTGTGCGGGTGGGTATTTCCAAACGCACGTGGATATGGAGAGATATGCACACACAGAACCTGGGAGAGCGTGTACGCATGCACACGTAGGCACGTGCACACACACACACACGCACACACACACACACACAATGTACAGTATATTTGGGCACACGGAAATCCTTGTGGAATGTACATGAAGCCTTATTCACAAACACGGGAGAACATGCCATTCCCTTGGACTCGCAGACACTGGTGTGGACGAGCAGGTGGACACCATGAGAAATGACTGGAGCAACTCCGCTGCCTCTCATGCGCGCTGTACTCCCAAGGCCCAGTGCCAATGTGTCACAGCCATTAGCTATTGTTAGCAAAACCCAAGCCTCATCAAGGGCTGCAATACAGAACACCCTGCAAACTATGGGGCGAACTAATGACTTTGCACAAAGCCTTTTTATAAAGGATCAGTCCCTTGTGCCGGGAGGAGCACTGAGGACGAGACTGCGGGAGGAGTAAAGTAGGGAGGGAGGGTCTCGTGCTGAAATCCCAGGGAATGCAATAGCTGCTTGCTTTGGCTTTGTGCAAGTGCCGCCTCATCCTATAACATGGAAATACAACTTCCTGCCACTGCGGGGGACGCACGAGGAAAGGGACCACAATACGCTCCAGTAACTTACTGCGGCACCTTTCTTTTCCATGTTGCCCGATCCCAGAGGAGACCCTCCACCTGCTCATGCGGGAGAGTCAACAATATTTTGATCTCCATGAATTCATTACACCAGGAGGCAAGCTGGCCCAAGGGCAGGAACTTGAATTAAATGCACTTAAGCACTCAGCGGGCACTCGAATCCCTCCCCCCGTACTGACAGGTTTAAGAGAAAACAGCCTGTTTTGGACAAGACCTAGCTCAGGGCTATCCCCACCTCACTGAGTCCATTTGGTGCCCTGTTGGCCAAATCTCACGCGAATGCGACAGGACGTGACCCAATGTCCGAGGAAGTCGGCAAAAGTGGAAGTTTTACCGCTAACTTTGCTAGGTTAGGATTGCTTACTAAAATAAAGCATCGCATGGAGGTACCATGAGCTGCAGTTGCCCGGAGCGTACGTGTTTCTACCCACCCGGCTCTGCTAGGCTCCACGGTGCCGTATGTTCCTCGCACAACGGGCGCGCAGCATCATTGTAGGCACGTGCGGCTACTGGAGGTTTTTCAGTTGTTTCTTGTAACACAACAAGCTTTTGGTTTTGGCCTTTAGCAAAGCATCTCCTGGAGGCGAGCGGGTGGGGTGAGGCTGGAGTGCAGCACCCAGGGCACGAGGGTCCTGGGTAGGGGGGGAGAGGGCATTTTTTGCTGTGAAAAACATTTGCTGCCTTCCAAAAAACAACAGGACCAGACACCCGCTTTGGCCAGAACAATCAAACCAGACTGCTGCAGAACAAGTCTGAGATGGGGAGCACTGGAGACCCTGCCGCCTTCCTCCAGTTGTCCTGTGAAAGGCCACCTGTAGATGTGGGATGTGCCTGCTGGCTCTCGGGTCTGCCATGGGACTGTGGGGGCACTGAGGTTTTGATTTCTCCTCATTCTGCATGATCTGCTAGGCAGAGCAGTGGCAGTGTACATCATGAAACACGACTTTCTTTAAGCGCTGGGCCCCATTTCGTGGAACCCGGGCAAGTCCCCAGCCCAGCTGCTTGCTATGGTTAAGAAAAGAGGCACTGTCTAATACTTAGTGGTTTAATACAGACATCCCTTCTGTCTGAACACAGATTTCTCATTTCAGTTTCCTGCAAGGACTGGGGCTGGATTGAATGCTGTTCAGTTCCCAGTGTATGAAGCCCCTGTCCCAACTTTGATGGCAGAAGCCCCTTCCCCAGCTGGCACATATTGAACTTCTCTGTACATTGAATGGCCTGAGGATGCCTCTTTCCCTTGGCGGGAACCTGGGTAGCAGGGTCTACACATTGCTCATCTTGTGGAGGTAAAATATTTCAGTCTCTAGCTGGCCCCAGCACTAATCAAACAAGGAAATTCTTTTATCTGGAGGAGAACGGGACGGGGAGCTTGAATCTGAAAGGCTACTGGCAAATCCTTCTACCCCTCCGAGCAGTGGGCTAGTTTGCCCTAGGATATTTGGCCTCTATCCCTTGCAATGAGTGTGTACGCCTAACCATTTGTGGCTTCCCTTCCCCAATATAAATGCAACATGTCCTGGACATCCATCCATCCATCCATAGAAGATGAGCACTGATTTACAAAACCCAAAAGAACAAGAACAGTTGCACAAATGCTCAAAGATTTTGTTTTTTTAAACATCCTCACCCAGGGTCTTTTTTTTTTTCCTCCTTTTTTGTTGCTGCTTGGCTTTCATTTGAAATAATCCCAGGGCTGTTTGTACGCGATGCAGTGAGCTTGCCCCCCAGCCCCAGCAAATGCATACAGGTTGGTGAAGTTGCAACGCGACTCATCACTTGGCATGCAGTAAATGCTTCGAAAAAGAAAGACCAACGACTAAAGACTTACCACGTACTTAAGGCTTTGAAAGAAAGGCTTACTCTGCTTCCAAAGGGCTTGGACTTCCGGTGCCATTTCACTTGACAAATGGCCCAAAGTCAATGATGGCTAGTGCTGAACAGGGAGGAGGCTGCACCTGCCTCCAAAATCTTCATTTCAAGGAGATGCAACTTATGAACTCTTGCATGGACAAGCGGCTATGATGGAGGTGGCCAAAGCTCGCTGCTGGGACTTGCCAATTGCACCAGAAGGGAGGAGGGTCTCCCTCCACACATGAGATATTTTCCCTTTCTCTTTATAGCATAACAGGGCTGGATGCACAGGATCACAGTTACCCAGCTTGTCAAGCATAACTGCAAAGAGGTGATAAAGGCTTTGCTCATTCACATGGAACAAAATTAAGTTGCCTGTCCCGTCAGTCCCTGCCTTTTTGCCTTTTAACCCTCTGCTTGGCAAATGTTCCCTTTTTCTTCTTGTTGACAGAAGAGCCCCACAAAATCAGGCCCAAACCTTCTACTTTGATGACTATGGGCATGTCTACGTGGCACGTACATCGTCCCTGGCAGCGCGGTCCTCAAGTGTCCTGAGCTGCTCTGCACAGGCTGCCTAGTCAAGCAGCCACCTTTGCAGGGAGCTAATTAAACACCTAGAGTGGCGATGTTAATCAGCCGGTCCCCAGGCTAATGAGTCTGCCCACAACTGTGGCTACCCCACACAGGTTGAAAGAGCTAACTCAGTGTGCTTGAGGATGCAGCCGTCAGAGATAGCAAGTTAGCCATGCCTAAAGCTTTTTCACTTGGACATGGATAAGAGCGCATACGGCCGTGAAGAGGGTGTGTGGCAAGGAAGCAGGGCCAAAGGGAGGAAGCCACATGTTGGGTCTCACCATTTGCTTTCCATTGAGCAATCTTTTATCGGCATGTCTGCTGCGGGAGGGAAAGAGGAGTGCGGCTTCTGCCAGAAAGGCTGGCTGAGATGTGCAAACCCTGAAGGACTTACGTGCCCAGCTTCCATGGAAAACCAATGTCAGCTGAGTGCCTCATCCCATAGGACCCCATTGAAGCTCCCAGCTTACAGCACACCCCTCATCTGTCACTTCCAGATTGCTGCCTCCTGGAACCGGCTCTCTCCAGGCAGAGAAGCCCAGTTCCGCCTCCTGTCTTAGCGCTAGGTCTGAAGCAGGAGGCCTCTCCTCTCCGCACTGCAAGGCCGGATCCTGGAGGCATTGGAAAGTCTCTGCATGGACATCCCAGTGGGGAGCTCGAGCTGCATGTGTAACCTGCTGAGCACAGCTCTCATGAATCGACCTCTCCACATTTGGAGACCCGCTTCTCTCTCCTAGTCAGCACAAGCGGCCAGTGTACAGCTGAAGTCCAATCCAACAGAGGCTGACAAAGCCTGAATCCCTCATGCAAAGAGAAAGAAAAGCTACAAGGAAAAGTCCAAGACTAGGGCTGGTCAAAAGAAAGGGGAATATTCCTTGAGAAAAGCCTGTACTTTTGTTTTTTCCTTATAAAAATACATCTAACTCCAAAATACTTCTTCACTGGGCAATAAAGCCAGGTCAAGAAATAGGATAGGTTTTTGCTGAGAATGCCTGTCCATTTCTCACCGGCAAATTGCAACCTTTTTTTAACCAGTTCTATCCAAGATGGCTATATGCCATTATGACGGTGTATTTAAAAATAAAGGAGTTAGGAGGAAGGCAGGTGGGTGGATGGATTTGGATTTTACCCAGTAAAATGCACTGTTTCTTTATCATGAATGTCAGCTTTATCGATTCGGCTTCTGAGCCATGGAGTGCCGTCACTCAAAGTAGTGCTGGGGAACCAAAACCACTGGAAATGTTTTGTGCGTTTAAAAAAAGAAAGTGCAACAGAAAAGACGCAAACATGGATGAACATTAAAAAAAACACCTGTACATTGTAGAAAACAAACAAGAAAAATATAACCAAACCCAAACAACAAACACCATCTTATCTTTCTGTTGCTTTGAAATCAGATTCATCCTTGGAACACTGTAGGGGAAAAAAAATAACCACTGATAGTTTGACGATATGATCCTCTTTCTTTGACAAACTCTTATCAAATGAGAAAGATTTTGTAACACTGCAGGTGCTTGTTTCAGCAGGCAACGGAAGAGGCAGAAAGTCTGTGTCCTGGTCTTTTTTCCTTTAGCATACAGAACGCAAAGCATTTAATACATTTTTTTTTGCCTTTTTTTCCCCCCCAGAGCAAGAGAGCAGAAGTGAATGAAAAAAGTCTAATATTTTTGTTCTTTAACCATGTAACTGCAGATATGATCCAACATCATGGAATGAAAAATAACGTAGAGCACTCATGTGTATCAGAAAAATACAATAAAAACCATCTTTAAGTTTCTTGTGAGCTCCCTCCCGACTTCAGGCCCACCCTCAACCTCCCCTACTGACGGGATCTCCTGAAAGGCTCTCTTGAGATCTCCATGCTGGAGAACAAACCTCTGTGACTAGAATAAGATCCCTCTTGGATTAGGAACAGCATGTGTAATAATGAGGAGTCCCTACAGTTGTGGCAATATCTTTTTAAAACTAAGTTAATACATTCTACTGACTTATGGATGACTTTGATGGATCAATGTTACCATTTTACATTTCCATACAATGGACAAACTCATCAAAGCCTGCACGTAATAACAGAACCTCTTTTACAGCAAGTAATACTGTTTTCAAGTCCTTTCGTAAAACATCTCGACATAATTCACTGAAGGTATCAAAAATATACCCTGTAGACCAATACATCATTTACAATTGCCTTTTCTTGCCATTCAGAAAACAATGCACTTAAAGCAACAAGTCCCTTCTGCAGAGAGCGCATCATGACATGGGAAATCTCTTTCCATTACAATCTGAGCCCAAGATTTTGTTCTCCAAAGGAATTTTTAAATGGATCCTCAACTCGCTCTCCCCATCCCCGTCCAGCACCGTGCATTCGTTTACAACTTTCCGGTGCCCGATGTGTCGACAGTGCTGCTGGGCAAGGAAACCTCATGCAGAAGGTGCATGAAGACCATCCAAATCAGCAAGAGAAGCAGGACATTTTTTTAAATTTCATTTCCCTCCACCCTGCCACGAAAGACTGCATATTTCAGTGGCACAGCCTGTGTGCTGGGAAACCCTTGGAATGGTTCGGAGGTTGGGGAAGGGGAGTCTGATCCTACTTCAAGTACTCGATAGCAGGCAGCACGAGTGTGCAGGCAGAGTATACACTCTATGGGTGCACACACACGCATATGGTATATGCATGCGTGCACACATGCCCAAGCACACGTACTGTGCTCCCAAGAACAATGGGGCTTTCCTTGTTCTCATCAAAGCGAAAGAGCACAACTGGAGCACCGGGTGGTATCCCCTGAGTAAACAACTGAATTCAGTGATCGATTGTATCCTACAGAGCTGCTCTAGGGCAGGGCGCAGCCGTCCCACTCCCTCCCCCGTCACCATCATCCCAATCAGCTGTTTGTGGACTGCGTCTCAAGCTCATGGACCATTTCACGATGACACTGGTACTGGAAAGAGAACGAGGCTGGGGTCCATCTGTCTGTCTTATTAAGGCTTTAGACTGAAGATGATTCAGAAATTTCCAGGCGTGAGAAAAAAATAAAATAAAATTGAGTGACTGGACAAAGCGCTGCTCCCGCTTCTTGGCTTGCAGGGTCAGTGCGGATGGCTCCCAGGACTGATATGGTCAGAGTTCACCCCGGCCAGCTTGCTTACCCACGTGGTTGGTTGGTTGGTTGGCTGTTATCCCTCCACACTCTTTCATTCACTGTCTGAAAGTGTCTCGTACTGTGAGCAGAGCAGGGGCTTGGGCTCTTCCTCCCAGGTGTGGTGCTGGCTGTTGGGGTTCCCTTGTGGAATGGATGTTGGCGGCGTGGCTGTCACCACGCCAGTTGGAAGCCTCATTGTTAGTGGATTGTATGGAAATGGCGTTGAACCTGAATCAAGACAGAAGATGGGAAGCAGCTCAGCGGTGCCCAGAAAGGAATTCACACCCCGATCCTACCCAGAGCGCTCCAATATTGCCATCCAATTCACCAGAACCAGGAAGCGCCACAGATGCTGGAGCAGCAGGGACTGGGAGTCGTGAGCCGATGATCTTGCGAGGTCCCTTCCAGCCCTAATGTCTATGAAATCTGAGTGAGGTATTCTGCCAGAACTGCATGGGGCTTAGGACTGGAGTAGCAGAGAAAGCTGCAATTCAAGGGTGGGGTGCATCAACGGGGCAACCCAGCACTGGGTAAGATGGGGCCAGTTGTGCGAGTGAATTTTCCAGCCTCGGGACCCATGGACATGGTTTTGCTTTTATGGCTGCCCTGCTCCCTTTGCTCGTGCTTCTTACTCCCGAGCTCTACCAACCAGTAGCGTTCCCAACGTGGCCAACACATTCGAAGGGAGTTATCCTGCCACGTGGCCGCTGCGTTACCTGGCCAAGGGTGGAGCCAGAGAGACGCAAACGGGAATGCGGCATTACCTGTGGATGAAGGCCTGTCCTCCCAGACCCGGTTGGTTAGAGGTGTCCTCCTGTTACAGTCCCCCTCAGAATGAACGGAAGAAACGGACGGCGGCCTCTCTCCGGAGGACAGGCCCGGCGCTGGAGACTTGGCCTTGCGGCTGTTCGGTCTGGCAGCCATCTTTGGCTTCCCTCCTCCTCCTACAAAGAGAAGCACCCCACCGGTCAAGCGGCTCCCTGGAGACACGGGACACAAGGTCAAGGCTTCCAGAAGCGACTTGCAATTTGGGACACCCAGCCAGAGATGCCTTAAAAGGGCCTGGTTTCAGAGGCAGGTACCTGGCACTTCCTGAAAGTCTGGCTGCATTAAAGGGTCTCAGGCTGAGCCTATAAAATCACCAGTCGCCTCTGCAGACCTTGACCTGGGCACATCTTAGCAGCTCAGAATGGCATATGCATCAGTAACGGAAAAGGAAGATTAGTGACCGCTAGCCTCCGCGGTGAGCTTTTCCACGGGAAATGAAAGAGCGCAGTCCTATGCATTTCCCAGCCAGCCTTTTGTTTGTGCGGGTTACGCATGGGCACCTCTACTGAGGACGCTCTGTCAGCCAGCTTTCAACCACTTAACAAGCCTGACCACCTCACAACTCTCATCTGGAAAGAAGAAGTTACTGCAGCTGCAATGGAAAGAAACTAGAAGGGCAGAAGTCATTTCCCCGGTCACAGCCCGTGACCCCTCAGATTTCAAGGGGTTGGTTCAAATTGGTTTCTTTTTCCCATGTATTCCCCACCCTGCTCCCCAGCCCTGCTCCCACGAAGCAAGCTGCAGCAGCTTCTGTCCAGTACACCAACTGGGTGCTTGAATGCGACTTGTGTCATGACTCGGCAGCGCGTTTGCTTGCTGGCTTGGCTGGGAAGGTCGTTCTGCAAGGAGCAGAAGAGCTTTGCTTGGACACCTGGCTCCACCTGTCCTCCTCCCCAGACATGCGAGTTTGTACGGGCACCTCCCCTCCTATCCTCAGGGGTCTACATGGCTTGGTGAATTCCCAGTATAGGGTGCTAGTTAAGGATAACTAAGCTTGGAGCCCAGCTCTTCCCCTAGCCTACTAGGGGACCTGTGCCTGTAACTAGTACTGTAGTGGCCCAAGCAGATGGCAAGTCACATGCTGCTGGGGGACGGGGCGAGGAGCAGTCATCCCCTCACCCCCCTGCCCCTCTTTCTGGTCCAACCCCGCCTCTATGTTTCTGAAAAGCCCTGGGAGGACCAGGGGGATGCCTGGCACGTGGTGCTGTAACACTCGCCCAACTCTGAAGCCAGGCAGGAGGTCTGATGCATGGCGTGTAGTGCGATGAGCCATGCTACCTGGGGCAGCTTAGCTGACAGCTGCCCCTCCTGTAAGCCAGCACAAAAGGGCTGAGTAACAGGCAGCCTCAGGCCTGGGCAACACCTGAAGGAAGAGGCTGGGAGGACAGGCAAGCTGGACAGCCAGAGGAAACCGTGGGAGTTACAGCAGCAGTGACAGATTGACGTGGATGAGAGCAGGTGCCTCTCCCCGGGGAAGTGGCCAATTCCCAGTGGGGAGAGCCACGTGGGCGATACATGGCGACCTGCTCTCCGTGACAGCCCGCTGCATCGCCACGGAGGGCACTGACTCTGTCCTGACGAGAACACGCTGCACTGCCTCCCGCCCTCGGGACGCCAAGGCTGGGGGCAAACGGGACGCTTTCCTGCCTCCGTACACCGCAATCCCCAACAGCCACCAGATCCCTTCTCTGATCCCTGCCCTGGGGCGGGGGTGTCTGCGTGTGTATTTCTACCACCAGAAGCAGCCTCGTCTAACTCCACAGATCTCACAGGGAAACGTGCTATTAGGCCCCAGTTCAGCCAAGCACTGAGGACCGTGCCCAAGCTTCAGTGATAACAGCCCAAACTTCAAACCAAAGCCAGGAGCCCTGCAAACAAGCTCTCCGGCTTTGCTGAACTGAGGCCTTTGCTTGGACTCGGTGCTTTAGAAGGAAAACCTTTTGGCCCAGAGTGTTTTGGGGTCTTTCTTCTTCCATACACCTTCTTGCACATCATAAGGGAAAGGAGATTAAAAAAGGGGAAAGATCAAATACACCAAGAGCGCAGTCAGTGTTTTAGAGAAAGCAGCAGCGCCTTCCAGACTATGACATGGAAACAACGAGGATTCCAGGATTAATTGGCCAGTTCACAAAGCTCAAAGCACGAGGGGCGGGAGGGGGGAGGGGATAATAATAAATCAAAACCCACAAAGGATTAAAAAATAAGAGAGACAGAGAGAGAGAGAGAGAGAGAGAGAGGAATTAATGACACTGAGACAGCAAAGGAGGAAAGGGCTGCAGACCTGGCACAGAGCGCATGTCCTCATTCCGTCCGTCAGCAGCAGTTATGGGCATAGCAGCAGGTGCGCTTGCACTGGCATTCAGAGAGTTAAAAGCATTGGCATTGGCACTGAGAGGCGAGCGCTCTTCCCACTGTTCGTCATATTTACCCATTAGGGCCTTCCTAATTATTGCCTCCAACCCCATGTTGGTACTGGAATTTTCTTGAACCGACTGGCTTCTACAACTGATTAGCCCTGGGAGATACGGAAGGGGGGAGAGGAGAGATGGGGGGGGGGAGATGGGTCCAAGGGAACCAAATGAGAAGAAAGATTGGGAGAGGGAGAGGGAAGGGGGAAGAAAGGAGACAAAGGAAGAAACAAACAGTCAGCACATTCTTGCAAAGCAACAAACGTCGTCATCTTGTTCTTTAAGCTCTGCAGGGCGCACCAGCCCTCCGCCCCGACCCGCCCCAGGGCTCGGCGGGAGCTGGTGTGCGTGCGTGTGCGTGGGGAGGAATCAAAGTTGCCCCGATTTCAGTTTCCAGGGTCCTGCACATGAATGAGGGTTCCCAAACTAAAGGGGAGAGAAGGGGACTTCCAGCCGGGCCTGTGACTTAAAAGACTCCTCATTCAGTACAAAAGGGTTGTGGCGGGGTGGGGGAGAAATTGAACATTAAAAAAATAGCTATGCAGAGGGCCTGGCAGATGCCCTGGGGACTGAGGAAGATCTGGGCTGATTCAGCTGGAGGCACAAGCGTCTCAGGGGACAGGGAATGACAGCCGAATTCACTGGTGCACCCTGCTGTTCTGGGCACACGCACGCAGGAGAGGGGCCTGCTGGAGAGCTCTGCTAGTCCTCTTCTGGGGGTGGTCCATCCTGAGTGTGGGGGAGAGGGGGAAGAGGCAGCCAGGAGGAGAACATCCTTCAGTCTCTCCTTGTGCTGAGGAATTGCTTCCCAGTCCCCACCCCCAGTCCCAGTCTGGAGTCTGCTGCCCGCGGGGCGGAGGCCCCCACATCTAGGGTTCAGAGGTCTTTAGAAAACAGGCTGCAGAGACGGAGTGGCATGTCGGAGTGATTGTGAGTCGTCAGAAGCCATGCAGTTATGGTGCAGCGCCGCACAGGGACCAAGGGTCAGCCACACGGCCATCATTCCCAACGCGCCGGTTACAGGAAACGAGCAAGGGCAAAAACACAGACATGAAGGTACAAACTCCTCCCGTGCCCCCCTAGTCCCCAACCCCAGGCCTGGGGCCATGTTCACCCCCACTCTCAGATCAGCTCCCTCAGCACCAAGTGGATGGATGGCTGTCTGAGTCGGGACCTGCTTCTGGTATACATTACCTCCCTCCTTGGAAAGGAAGCACACTACCACAAGCCAACTTTAACCATTTCTAGAGGTCTCCCCTCCGCCGCCTGTACAACCTCTTGTCTAACCTTGTAGCTCCCTGCGACACAGCCGTCTTTAGGATGCACAAAATGCAGGTCTAGGTCACAGCCAGTGGGACCCCCTGGTCTGGCTATCAGCAGAAGTCAGCAAAACGGCTGCAAAGGGCTCAAAGTGCAACTCTTTTGTCACCACCTCCCTCCACCAACACATAACTCTTAAAGGAAAGCTTTTCTAAGGTGGTACTAGGAGCCTCTTCCATGCAGATGCCACAGAAACTTGCTGCTTACACTGAGCCCTTGGATCAGGGGTTTAAAAACAAGTGGAAGGGGCTGGGAAGAGATGGCAGGCAGGAGCCCAGCTTTCCAGCAACGCAATGCAAGGAGGCTCCACAGGTAACATGTCAAACTTCCACCATGCAGTGGAGCTGGGTGACACTGCAACCAGCAAAACAGTAGGTTCCTTCTCCTGTTGCTGAACAGCCCCTGCTTCTGGGCTCAATCCTGTTTTATATGCATTCCCAGAGAAACGCCACTGTCGCCAGCACTCCTACACCAGGGAGTCAGCTGAGAAAACTACGTTCCTCTATGCTTTGGTTTGAGACAGAGAGAAAATTAATACCTCTGGATAACTAGGGAAGTGTGGAGTAATACAAATGTGCGTGTCTAAAGTGCATTACCCATATGAACACTCTGCTACCTGGGGAAGTAGGCATCATGGTATTTGTAGACACACATATCTGAGCTGGAAAGAGGCAAGCCTTTAAGGAAAGAGGTCCAACAGGGCTGCAACTGAAGCCTGGACAATCCCTGGAGAGACGATCCTTTTGGGAAGCCCAGTCCCACTGGCTCCTCTCCGCTGTAATCAAGAGGGTTTTTAGATTCCACAAGAGCAAGCTGCACTGTCAGCAGGATGAGAAGGGGTAATACTATCCAGGGATGAAAGGCTCCCCTGTTGCTACAGAATACAGTGATGCCACCTGCACTGACTCCCCTCTCCCCTGTGTACTGCACAGGACAGGATATTGCACACCTCAGTAAGAGGATGCTGCCCCTCCTTCCTGTCCTGCCATCTCCCACTCTCAGCGTGACATCCTGCCTTATTATCTTTCCAGCCTCTCGATGTGGCGTGCACCATTGGAACCTCTTCCCTGTTGGTGGCCCAAGGTCTCAGACCAACCTGAGACACCACGGGTCAAGGTCATCTCTGCTGGAAGGTTTTACTTCTCCCCACAATTCTGAGAAATTCAAGGCTTTAAAAAGAACTGGTCTTTGACGTGTCCAGCTCTGTAGTGCCATTCCCAAAGCAGGAAATGACAGTGTGTACGTGTTCCTCTATCACACCAAACCTCTACCGGGTCCCAGTGCCAAAAGATTCCTGAATCAGCTGAATCTCCTCTTCATCTCCCGTGAATTCTGCGCAGAGCATATGGGAGAGCATGAGGTAGGATAAGGATATGCCGTGACAGTTACCTGTTCCGGTAATCGCTGGCATGTTGAAAATCTCTGTCCCGGGCTGCCCAACATCTGGAGGAAGACAAAGAAGTCCTTCAGTATGAAAAGCACCATGCAGCAGTGAACTTCAGGGGGAGTTTTCATTTCATTTAGAGGGACTTCCCTTCCTGAACCCAAAAGGATGTCAGTATATGTGACATGAGGCTGGAGGTCCACATTTAATTACACAGAATAACAAAACCTCAGGCTAGGCTTGAGTGAAGGGTGGGTAAGATGAGGAATGATGCTTTAGGACTAATGATTCATCCTCCTCCCTATTTTTACAGCAATGCTTTCTTGGGAAACACAGCTCTGAAATCAGGAGCCTCCAAGACCTGACCGGTCCACTTGAAAGCAGATGTTCTCCCACTGTGGTCCAAAACCCTTTAAGGGCCTTTCCAGATGGCAAGTAGTAGAGACTTGGGAAATTTGATACCTTGAGAGAATGTGTCTTACCAAGTGGGCCAGGGACTCAGAGCATCAACCACAGGCTGAGTATAAACCCTTCGACAATGCTGTAGACCTCCAGACAGCCCTGCTGATGCCCCCAGCTCCTTCCCCCACTCCAGCATCGCCCCTCTGGGGAGTGAAGCTGGGGTAACAAAGCCTCTGCCCTGCCTGTGGAGTCACCAAGGTCTCGAGTTCTCATTTCCCTTGAACAGCCTTTTTTTTCACAGACACAGCGGTGGGGGCGGGGAGGGGACTCTGAGTCAATATTTTCCCTCTTAGCTGAGCTGTTTGGCTTGGGTATCACTTTCCTTGGAATAACAGCCTGTCTCATCAAACAGAAGGCGTTTCCTATTTCTGTCTATTTTCCCCTGATAAGGAAAGGAGCGGAAGGTCATGGAGTGCAGTTACACATCCCTGCAAGGCCATAACAATATAGTTGGATCATGGCAACGTCTTACATGGGGTGAGACGGCTCAGCCCCTCTTATCCATTGCAGCTGCTGTAAGATGGATTCAAATTGAATTAGTATCGACTGTACAATGCTGGGGCTAAATTAAATTATGATCCTATCTACTCTATTAGTGCTTAATGAAGGCAGGGGATGAATTTCTAATACCAGTCAGCCCGGCTGTTTTTTCAGGGCTGTACCAATATTGATGCAGGGATTAAAGTCGCCTTCTGACAGAGGCATCTTCAGGAAGCAGAACCCTTCCTGGATGGACGCTCATTAAAATGTCAATTGCTCTTAAGCCTCCTCTGTTCTCTACTTGTTATTCTGTGCGGGTGAACGGGGCAGGATTGACAGCTGGGGAAGATGGAGGCCCAGCTGGATGGAGAACAACCTTCTTCCAGTTGCTATCTGCTCATGGGCCACAACCGGCTTGGGGAAAGTGTCTCATGGGAATCTAGCTCTCTTGATGAAATCTCCATGGGCTCTGGGGGTGAAGTTCATCTGACCTGAATATCAGCCCTAATAAAGGGTGTGACCCCTATGTGAGGGCCCTGAAACATTTGCTTTGTGATCTCTTCTGCACATGGTCTCCCTGCTACACTCTTTCCTCTTCGTGGCTGTGAGCAGTGGAAAGACCCTGGACGAATGCATCTCCTGTCCCCTTGCCCCAAATGCGCATGGCCACTGCACAGGCCCTTCACTGGGGTGCATGGGGCAATGCTAACACACAGCAGAGGTGGAGAAAGGGCTCATATGTTTGGATTTTGAAACCAAACAAAACCCAATAGGCTGAGAGGGTCAGATGGAAAATTCGCAACCCTGGACCTGCAGGGGAAATTGCCTTCAGATGACCAGAATCTGCACAACAGGCTCCTGAAGCCACAGCCGGGATTCATGCTACGAGGAGGCCTGCCCTGAAATCTTTCCTTTTTTGTTTCCTCAGGGCCTTTCCATCCTGCTCCCACCCCCGCCACAATCAAGTCATAGTCTGGACGCCTTACTGTACTCCGTCTCACTCTTGTTGGTCGTGCTGAGCTTCTTGATGATCTCCTGCTTTTTGGACTTCACCATGGCGGAGTTGCTCTCGGTCAGTTTGCTGAAGAAGGCAGGGGGCTGGGTGTTGTTTCCTGGGGATTTGGAGCCCATTCTGCAAAGCAGGCGGCCATCAGAAACAGGTGCAGGGTGTGGGACTCGCATCTTCCTGTCTACAGAACCCCGGCCTGTCACCGGCACTGCATCCACAACCTGCCCCTACGCCACCCTGGGACCCGGGATCCCCGGCTTACACCAGCGAGTCTGGCTGTTCTTACCAGCCCTGCGCTTCAGGTACAATACGTGAGCCCAATGAAATGCTCCTAAATACTGATTAAGGGCTGATTCTTCCCTCTTAAATCTGACCACAGACTGGCTGGGACACTCCTGGCTGGAAGAGAAGTTCTTCTGACCTTATTATTTCTACCCTAGAATTAAAGAACCCAACTACCTTCTCTTCTCTGTCCTGAAATCCTCTAATATGGAAGCTGGTCCTATTTGCTCAGCCCAGTTTTTAAGCAGACAGATGACATGGGAAGGCCTCATAGGAGGGACTCAAGGCAGGTTGGTATTTGCCAGGGCAGGGGGCACCTGAACTAACATGAGGGACTGACTGGTGTCTACTGGAACAAAATGGAGAAAGTTGGGACTCCTGGCTTCCACCCCTCAATCATGCCTCCACATAATCTAGCAGGAGATAACAAACCCTGACAACAGTTGGGTACCGTTGTTGTGGTACAACAGGCTCAGGCTCAGGCCCTGGCAGGCTTTCCCAGGGACAGTGGGAGTGCAAAGTTCTGGGAAAGGAAGAAGTCACTGCACTGCTTTTGTAGCTTCAGGGTAGACAGCCAAGTCCCCCACTGCCTTCCCCTGCTGTTGCCAGTTACCTTTGCTCCATTGGCTCTCCTTCCCGGTACAAGAGCGGGTATGCGGCACTCTTCATGTGCTCTGGGTCTCCCATGCCGTCTGGTGGCGACACAGGCTCAATGCCGTTGTCTGGTGCCCCCACTGCAGATGCTTTGCTCTGCTCGGGAGACCTGAGGATGGGGCAAGGAGATGCTGTCAGCCCATGGCAACGCTCTGAAATCCCCGCTTGGCTGGGCAGGGTGAAGGGGCCGTGAGGGACTAAGAGGATCCGACAACATGGAAAGCTTCCTTGTGGGGCAATGCGAAAGGATGCCATTCCCAAAGGAGTGGGTAGCTCTGCCTGCTTCCGACTGTGTCCCTCACATCAGGAGGTTGGAGCCCAGAGGGACCCGCAGGGCTCCTGGTGGCTGTGGTGCCACCCTGCCCCGAGCCCAGAAGTACGTCTCTGGCACGGAAGGAACTAGGTGAGGCCGAGGCAGGTCCCATGGGGAAAAGAGCCAAGCTCAGGAAAGCACTGGGGCTGAGCCTTGAGGCCAGCACTTTTCTCAGAGGGCTTTGTCCAGGCTGGGAAAAGGTGCTTTTTATGAACAGGCTAAAAATCTTAGCACAGACAGTGCCCAGCTGCAGTTTCCTCGCACATCAATGAGAAGGCCAGGGGGGAGCCTACGATTCCCACTGACCTGGGAAGCTTCTGTGAAGACAGCTTGCCCAGGCCACACCAGGACTGCTGTCTGTGTTGGCTCCCAGGGTAACACCTGCACCACGTTCCCCTGGGCACAGCCTATGTGAGCAGGCACGAGCCACAACTCACAGCGAGGGCCTGGAAACTGGCCCCCCTTTCCCTGCAACCTCACCTTTTGCCCCCTTCATTCTGCAGGGCGATTTTGGAGCCTGGCGTGTGCTCTTGGGGCAGCGGGAGATAGGCCTCACTGGGGGTGCGACGCAGATCCAGCACGGGGCACGTGGCTCCAGGGAAGGAGTAGACAGGGGGCTGGATGTGGGGGCTGATCTGCTGAGGGTGATGGCGCGTGTAGTCTTGGGTGATAACCTCCTAGAGGAAAAAAGCCCTCAAGTCAGCAACTCAGTTTCTGGTCCCTCACAATCGCCTGTCTGTGTGGGAGAAATGGGGTTGGGTGGATGGGGTCCTTCTGGGATTGCCCGAGCCTTGTTTCTCCTCTCTTGGTGCATGAAGTGACAGGGTGGGCAGGGACCTCCAGGGTCCTCCATGGACTGCTGCAGAGCAAGGCATGGCACCAGCCCTCCCTACCCTCAGGTCTGAGGCACCAAGACTTCTGACTCTCCCCTCTGGCCCATCCGTAGCTGGAACGTCCAAGATGCTTTAGGTCAGCTGTGAGGACAAATCACCCCCCTCCCACGCTGCCCCAGGAGAGGAGGAGGAGAAAGAGGCTAATTACATTGATGTGCTGAGCCAGGGTGACGACCCGCTGGTGCCCCTTGAGGTTCTGGGCCGAGGGTGGCGGCTGCCCCTGGGATGGCTGGCCTTCGGGCAGCTGGCGCAGGTGCTGCATGTGAGCTCCTTCAGTCATCGAGGGCTTCAGAGCAGCTGGGAAGAGAAGAAGCAGCTGTGACAACACAGGGCCATGCACTCCCACTGCCCCAGCATGGCTTTCCATTGCCTCCCTGTAATCACTTGACATGAGACCGTTGATTCCTTATGAAAGAGTTAACCCGCAGCAACAGTGCAGCCTGCAGGGACACGACAGAGCTCGGGTGTAGGAGCCGGGAGTCATGAGACCTGGCATACAGCCCCCAACTGCGCCTGTGACTTGCTGAGTGACTCTGACCAGGCCACTCATGCTCCCTGATGCCTTGGTTTTCTCTTCTGCAAGATGGGCTTTCTGATAGTCACTCATCGTGCATGGACCACTGAGAAGCTGGTAGGCAATGGGTGGGGTTTGGAAAAGACTCTGAAAAGCAAAAGCCACTTGTTGGCACCTAAGTGAGACCTCCCCTTTGCAGAGCTACTGCTCAGAGTTGGAGGCTGCTCAGCATTTTCGGTATGGCTACAGGGAGGACGGTGGGTGAGCTCAGGTCCAGCTGGGGTTATTTTCCAGCCACAGTCCAAGCTCCAGCAAAATACGCACAAGCCGGTGCAAGCAGGCTAATAAGCCTGAGGAGGCCTGATGCTTCTCCTCCTGCTCATTTCTTCCCACTCCTCCCTTAGCCTGTCTGCACTGCCTGGCCATGAAGGGAAACAGATCCCTTTCTGCAGCCCTGGTCAGCAGGCCGTGCTGATACCCCACCCTGCCTGCTACTGGCTTTCTCTTGTATTTCCTCCCCATTAACACACAGCAGCCACCTGGACAGGCACTGGCCTGGCTCCCTTCTCTGTCTGCGAGCATCACCTAGAGGCCTTATGAGGACTTGCTGTGCTGGATGCTGCACAAATCCGTGGTGACACCTTCCCCAGGACAGCAGTGAGTCTTTGCAAGCTGTGTACACTTGGAGGGGCACCTCAGACCTTATTCATGCAAGCTTCTGCTTGCTGGGACTGTCCGCTGCTGCCAGCTTCCATCAGCCTGCACCGGTGCAGGGAATACAGGTAGCCCACAGCTTAGGACTGCAATACATGGGCCCTCCTAATCCAGGAAAAGGACCCACCCTCACTCTTGAGGCTAGCAGCCTTCTACTAGGCTATGGGCTGGGGCACGGCGAGCTCCAGGTCCTATCAGATTCCCCCTGCAGTAACAGCAGCCATGGCCCTCACCTTGCTGCTTCTGCCTCATGTCGTGCTCTCCGTGCCCTTTCTCCACGTCCTGCGGCAGCTTTGCCCCTTTCTCGTGGGAGATGCTGGGCGAGCTCACGGGGCTCACTGCTTCAATGCCATCGGGGCTGTAGCCTCCGTGGAAGCCTGGGGGAAGGGAACAAGGGCCTTTATTCTGCAAGCTGCCTATATTCCAGCTCACACTACCTGCAGTGGCTGCCGCAAAAACAGGATCTTCCTATCCGGCAAAGAGGGGAAGGAAATCATTAAGCAACCTCTCAGGACAAGCACTGGCCCAGCAGTCGCTTCTACAGACCTCCTCAGTATTGGAGGGGACAGTGCATTTTGTAAGCATGCACGAAGGTGCATTGCTTTCTACTTACTAGCATCACTGGGAAACTCGGGGTTCAACCCCTGGGGACAGGAGAGACAGAGGGGAATGTGCACGGAGCCAAATTCGCTGCTCTTCACAAATGTAGGTTTCACAAATACTGAAAGAATAATATAACATTTTCCTATAGAGCTGGAAACCCACCAAACAGTTCATCACTGCAGCGTGGGAACCAGGAAGCAAAACTGATCAGCGTGGATTTGTATCTTACCCATGAGTGAGGTTCAATAAAATCAACCAAAGCCGTGCACAGCGTGGGAAATGTGCTGCTTTTACAGAGAACCAAAGTGCTGTTTCCACAGGTAGGTCTCCAAAGTGCTTCACAAAGGAAAGCCAGCACTGACAGCCCTGGCAACAGTGCGTGCTCAAAAAGCGAGAGCCAGGCCCAAAGGCTCCTAAGTCTGGTTTAAAATTCCTAAACTGAAGTATGCGTTTGCTTTCCTCTTGTTTCTGATCCATCAGAAAGGGGGTAATTCTGTGTCTCCTACAGCTGAAAAACCTTGAAGAAGACGCTTGTATTTATCCTTGCCTGGACATGGGGAAGAGGAAAACATGGAAGGACCAGGAATAGTTCAAAAAGCTTGGCTGGGAAGGGACTGAGAGAAAAGACTTTACAAGGGAGCATAGAGCCTCCTCCTAATTTTGGCTCTTCAGTTAGAGGAACACAGTCCTTCTGCTTCTTAGCCTAGGTGAGCAAATGTAGACGCAGAATGCAGCCAGTCTAAGGGAACGTGTTTTAAAGCAGCGCTGCACGGCAGCATGCTTAGGTCAGGGTCCCTCCATCCTTCTGGTGGTGGAGCATTCTTGGCCATGATGTGGGCTGTAAGGGCCCAATGGCAATGACTGGGATCACTGGATCAGGCAAGGGTACGGAAGGGGAGATTCAGAGATCACAAAAGGTCTCCCCAACCCATGGCCTGCTCTGCATTTAGGTTACATGCATGGGAGTTTGCCACTGGTGCCCAATGACAACACATACGAGGTGCACAGAGATAATGCTGACTGGCACACAGGGGCACTGGTTGCGAGCACAACACCAGAGTGGGACGCTCTGGGGGCAAAATGACAACTGTGGGCGTGGGGACAGGCATACACCAGGGTACAGCTCCCCCTGGACAAACACTACTGCACATCATGTCCTATGCTGTTGTGCTGGGCTGCTGCTGCGTTTCACCTCCACTGTGACTGCATCACATTTGTAAGCTAAGCCACCTCTGCCCCCAACACTGCCCATCTTTTTCTCCTGGAGGGGCTGTCACCATGGTATCTACATGCTGATATATTACATTAGTTTTGCACTGAGAAATTCCTTTGCAAAGCACTTTGGCATTCATTAAATTCAAAGGTACCGTCCAAGTCTAAGACATCTTTGTGCAGCTGACAACCGTCCTGTAAGGACTGCACTTCCCTGCCCCAGTGCTGTTTGACTCATGACTCAATTTTGTAGCACAGACTGGGGGTACAAACATATTTCTTCACTGCTTTAAAGGGGAGAGGGGAGGCTGTCCCTGAGATGCTCTTACCAGCAGTTACAACCCAACATTACCTCTGTGTGATCTTGTAATAATGTAAGTGCAGCTAAAACTGCTGGATCCTGACAAACTGGATTGGCATTGGAGCTGTTTTGCTATATTCATATCACTACAGAATTATGCAGAAGTAACAGCTGCTTCACAACAGCTTTGATCAATACAATTGTTACATCTGTCTACACCCCACACCAGCAATTCTAAGGTTTGTGAAATCATGGCCACCCTCAACCCCTTTAATAAATGAACTGAAGAGGGTCAGCAAAGAATCGGCAATGGGAAAATTAAAAGAGAGAAGGGGAAGGGGTAAAAGACCCTTAAAAAGAATGAATACAATTAAAAAAGACTGGAACAACATAAATGATTTTAAAAGGTAAATAAATGCATGAGGAAGTGGAAGAAGCCAATCACCAAAACGTGCAATTAAAAAAAAACCAAAAGCTATATATATATGTATATATATATTGTTTTTAGGCCACGAACTCGGACTCTCACCACCCCCTCCAATTTCTTACCATCACTAGTGGAGTCGTTATTTAGCGAGCCTCTTTCTCGCTTCCCCTTATCGCAAGAAATTTGACGCATGATAATCACATCTATGAAGTTGGCCGCTGTCATGGTGGTCTTACCGAGTGCTCGGAGCTCCTGTTCCTGCATTGAAAAGGGTTTACTTTGACTCTTTTCTCTACTGTGCTGCTCATTGACCGAAGCTGCATGCTGCTGTTCCAGGGGTGGATGGTGCTGCTGGTTTTTCCCCTGTCCTCTGCTATACGGCTGAGAAGAACCTGGCCCCGAGACTGGTAAGGGCCTAGACTCCGTGGCTTTAATAGGTGACGATGACTGCTCTAGGTGCGTCCCACTGGGCAGCTTTGAGGTGTATAAGTTGTTGTCAGTCTGAGGGCGTTCTACCTTGGCTTCTCGGGCCCTTGACGACTCTTTTTGCAAGGTGGAAGGGTCCATCATGGCTGCATAGCCGTCCATGGGTGAGCGCAAGGCAGATGCTTGGGGGAAGCCTGCAGAGCGTATCGGTGAAGTGGTAGTGGTGGAGGAGGACCTGGAAGGCAGATTAAGACCATTTAAAAAAGATAATCAATGGATAATTGAACCACGAGGCAAAGAGAAGCAGCAGCTTACACCCAGTCTAATCCAGCCCTCAACCCCCAGGTGGATCCTGCTATCAGAAGCAGATGCAGGCAAGGTTGAGAGCGAGTGGAGCCTAGCTCAGTTCTCTGCTGCGAGTGATTCCTGGTCTGCACTGGCATTGTGAAAGAGGGGCAAATCAGGCCCTCCATCGATCTAACCAGTGCAGCTCATTCCCCATTCGTACTTGCGACCTGAGGCTGTGCTGCCCATAATGAAAGCACAGGCACAATGGGGCATAATACCAGAGTGCATCAGGAGTCAGAGGGCTGCCTTTGGCTTCCCGCTAAGGACCAACTCGGAGTAAAAATCCATCGATGGCATCAACTACACATCAGATGAAGTGAGCCTGTGCTCACAAGAGCATATACTCCTCTGATTTAGCTAGTCCATAAGGTACACCTCTGCCTTGCCTTCTACCAGCTAAATGCACATTTCTGCCATGACTGCCTCCAGGATAACCACTGCGCAAGACTATCAGCTGGAAAGAAAAAACAAAAACCCTTACATAGCAAACTGCTCGTTTAGCCCCTGGCTGAAGAAGAACAGAGCTGGGCTCTGGTTATACCCATTTGTTTAATTCTTGGCAGCATCTTCTGGCAAAAGACATTTGGAGAGGAAAAGAACCTGGTTTCAGAGTTGGATCCAACATACTATCTCCTGCTAGGGCCTACTCCTGTCCTCACTGAAATCAAGGGAAAAAACTCCTCCCTCTGACTCTAGCACAGCAGGATTAAGAAGTTTAATAGCCCCAAACCTGGAAGAGAGGAGCAAGCAGTCAACCCCATACGTACCGCAGGACCGAGGGGGTGGGGTTGTCCGAGGACAGGATCTTCATGCCTGTGTTGTGGAGCACGCTGGGGCGCTGCTGGACAGTGTCGTGGGTGCGGGGTGAGACAGGAGAGTGCTGGTGGCTGTGAGAGTGTGCGGATGAACGGCTGCTGCTCTGCTCAGTACCTGTAGAAACGCAGCGGAGAATCTGATCAGGAAGCAGATGTGGAAAGCCAAGGGGCCAGGGGAAGACAGGGCAGAGCAGAGACCTGAGCCAGGTGCGCTCGGAGAAATCTTCCGCTCAGGTCCCTAGTGGGTAAGGTCTGTGCCGGTAGTGCCTCTTTCATGCCTACCTGGCCTCCAGATGGGGGCGTGCTCCACTGTGGTGGCCGTGAGCATGGATTTCTCCCGCTCCCTCTCGCGTTCCCGCTCCCGCTCTCGATCCCGCTCCCGCTCGGAAGCCGACGCTCCCGTCTGCTTGGTCAGGTGGGTGGGGCCTCCTGAAATTCAAAGAAACCCAAGTTGTGTCATTGGCGCAGCCCTCTTCCAGTGCCCCGGAACGGGAAAAGCCAAAAACCAATAAAAACCAACAAATGATTTGGTTTGGAAAATGTTGGGCTCAGTAACATGAAAGTAAACTGTTCATTTCTGTGTCCTAGCATGTTTCACTGAAAATAATGAACAACAACCCAAATTGACAAGACGTGTCAGTAAAAGCTGCTATTAATAACACTTCTTAGTTGTTTAACTAGTCCTAGGGTTGAAAGGGACTTCAAGGGTCATTAAGACCAATCACAAGACTATTATAACACAATAAGAGTCAAAGATGCTAGTATTTTTAGTTCATTCTACAGCTGAAATAATTAAGGACAGCTGCTACTTAGGCCCTATTGATACACCTTTTCTTCTTTTCTAGAGCTAAGTGTGCAGAGACAGACCAGTTGGATACACTGCATTACAACACAGGAACAGGTGATACCTATCCAAAGCCTCTCTCACTGCTGGCAACAGGAAATAAAAAAAAAATACAAGTAGGAGTAACTTAAACAGCATTTTTCAGCCATTAATGCCAACAGATAGTTTGAGGGGCAGCACCCCTTACCACCACGTGGCTTCATTTGTGTAAGGAAGGGGCTCTCAGGTACTGACAACAGTCTGAACTACAAAGAGAGGCTGCAGAATCACCGCTGCAGGTTCACAACCAGAAGCCCAGAGGCTTCAGGTGGGTTTTCAGTCTGCTGATATGTACCCTGGGCAAACAACCGAGGGCATTTCTAGTTGGCAATGCCTACATTGTGGCCTTTACCTGGGGAGAGTGGGGAGCTGCTGTGTCGGCTGCTGAAAGCTTGGGGGGTGCTGTGCATGTAGGTGATTCGGTCCATGGGGGGGGCAGAAGTGCCAGGTGTGGGTGGTACGAGGACAGGCAGGTGTGGCACTTGAGACAGGTCGATTATTCCTGCAGAGAGAACAGAAAGGAACATCAGGATGATGACAGGGTCACAGGGTTCAGCCATGGCAGCAAGGTCTGAGGGGAGAGACCTACAGCACATGCCTCCCTATGGTGGCTGCTCAGGGGACAGGACTGAGATAGCAGGCAGTCTGAAAAGCTATTTTCTGAGCTGTGTTGATAACCGTGGAACCAGAAGACAGCCAAGGTGAAAGCCCCACACAGGGTCCCAGCACGTCACCTGGCCACTGCAGAAATCCTGCGTCTCAGGTGTAAATGCCACCCATGCTTCCCCCAATGCCCGTCACCCAGCCTGGACAGTGGAACCAGGAGCGATGCCCCTGGTTGATGGAACAGCCTCTCTTGGGTCTGAACACTGAAAAGCTCAACACTTCAGCCCCCACTCCCACCAAACGGCAGGCCTGGCTACCTGACGCAGAGACGCACTGACACCGAGTGGGACCATGGCTGCTACTAATTTAGGCTCCAGTCACTAACAGTGCAACAAAATACGTGCACACAGGGATGCACGGACAGCACACACTTCTCTTATCAACCCCCACGCAGCACTCAGAGAACATTTTTTTTTTCCTTTTACTCTTGAAAGAGCTCTCCAGGCACGTAAGGGCCAGATTGTGGGATCCTTTCCCGTGCCAGCAGCATCACCAAAGTCAACGGGGCTGCTTTTGAAAGTGCTTCCCACAGGGAGCAGCAGCTCCACAATCTGGCCCTGCACTAATTAATCCTTCTGCCTTCCCTGAAAGCTTTCCTCGCCTCGTTTCCAGGGAGCAGATTCAGATCTGGTCTATATTCTATCACCGCCCCAGCTTCCAACAGCACCTATCTGGTTCGAGTTCACGCTCTGTTGCTCCCTTCTTCAGCTCTAAATGGCATGGTCCTATTAGCTTCCAAGACACCCACCACTCATCCTGTGCCTGCCCAGCTATGGGTAATGGGAGAAGAAAAGCAGAGCAGAGCAGAAATGATGATCTCATGAGGTCCCTTCTAGCCCTAGACTTCTGTGAATCTGCGAGGGTACACCCATGTGTGACCATCAGAAAAAAAAGCCTTGCCAGCAGTTAGCAGCAAAAAGGTCTAAGAGTTCAGCCCAAAGAATCCCAAAGCAACTTACTCTGTGGTTACAGGAATCATTTCACCTGCTACCCATAATCAGCCCCTTTTTGGGGGTGGGAGGTGGGACAGAGCGCAGCAGCTCATTCACAGCCAGCAGCGATTAAACAGTTTAGGACAGGAAGTGAGAATCGGGAATGCACCCAAGGCTGCAGGGCATTGTAGGGAGATGGAGTCTAGCCAGAAGGGGACCAGGCCTGCAAAACAATGCTGCAGGATCCTGGATGACCCCCCAAAGGCTGGGAGTTTGGGTGGCTTGGGAAGACGGCTTCAGCAGCAGTCACTGGCTGCCCTCTAGAGCTGGACTGCAGCATTGCCACCAGGATCAGATCGGAGCAGAAAGCACCATCACTTCTCCCTGCAAAAGGGGGTGGATGGAGGGGGGCAGCTTCTCCTCCACGAGCTGACCAAGCCCAGCCTTCTTCAGCAGGCAGAGGCTCATCAGATCACAACCCAAGGTCAAACAGCTACATCTAAAGCAGCCTCAAGAAACCTAACCTGCTGTCAAGAACAGCAAGAAAATAACTTGTCTCTGTGCAGAGCATTCAAGGACTGCTGAACCAGCTGAAACCAAAGTATTTCTGCACTTCAGAGCTATGCCACCAGCTTGATTTCTACCACAGAACCAGCAATGGCTCCTCCACGAGGGACCTTCAGTGTTGCCCTCAGCACCTTCAGACCCGACTGAGCTACATCCTTCGAGAAGGAAAAACAGCTACCCAGGAACCCCAGACAGCTTCATACTTCGAGGACCTGCTGCATAGTTGAGAGCCAGAGAAGGCTCGCGAGGGGAGAGTCCGCGCAGCATGTCTGCCCGCTGCACCATGGCTGAGGCGGCGGCAGCGTTGTGGTGCATCTGCTGGGAGGTAATGTAGTCGTTGATGATGGTCTGCCTGTTCTCCATGGCGGCTGTGTCTGGGTACCCTCGGATGAGGTATGGCGGGTAGAGGTGGGAGTATGTTGGGCTCGGAGCAAGATGCCTGGGCAAGTAGTAAGCAGCGGCTGAAAGGGAAGATTTAAACAGGTCAGTCTCCCCTGAAACATGGGCTGAGAAGCAGGAAGCAGGCTCAAAAAATGCACAAAAAACATGGAAACACTGGCTTTACATGGTGGGCTAATTCAGGGACTGGTAGAGACCCGATTCAGCAAGCATGTGGGCTCTATCCATACGCCCTTCATGCTGGGGGGGATGTGCAACACCAGTGAGCCAGTACCCTGCTCACCCTGCCCTGGTTCGGCTACCGGACCTCGGGCATCAGCTACTGAGGGCCCAAGGGTGGAGGAAGCCAGGAGGACTTTTTAGCTGCCTCCGGGACTTAAAATGGCAAGGTCTGCACTGGCACCGTGCCTGCTGAAAAGATGGGGAGGTACTCAGCCAAGATGAGGAGGGAGCTGCGTCGGATGAGAGCTCACATGAGAGATGGCTGTAGGCAGCAGAGGCTAATCACGGACCAAGGCAGGAGAGTTTCAAAAGTTGTGAAATGGGACTGCTGAAGGCCAGATGATGGGAAGTTTTGCTTCATCTCACTGTGTAGCTCATAAGACACTGGGCCAGGCTTCAAGTCTCTTACCCTGCTGTAAATTCAGAGCAGCCCCTGCCCCTGTCTTCGGGGTGGGCATAGGCTGGATTTACAGAGGAGAGCGGACAGCGCAGTGACTGCGTGCTTCCACGGCCAGCCAGGGGCTGCTCGAGGCAGCTCGCGTCCCCAGAAGGGAGTACCTGCTTCCAGTTGAATTCCCCTGGGAATCGCGGCAGGGTCGAAGGCCAGTGGGATGTGTCCCCGGTACAGGTCGACGCCGCTCACTCCCCGCAGCAAGTGCTCGTACGGCGACATGGGGTGGTGGTGGTCCGAGACGGTGGCGTGAGGGGACTTGGAGCTGGACATTTCTCTCGGCGTGGGGGTGATCTTTCTGTCCTGGGACACTGGCTTCCCAGAAGTGATACTCCCTGCAGGAGCAAAGGAAATGAGTCAGAGGAGCCAATGCTCACAGCCAAACTCTCTGCTCAGATGGGCATGCCTGGCTCCCACTGAGCTCAGGGGAGCCTTCCTTCCTCACACCATTGTTTTGATTTCACAGCACATTGTGCGAGCGCCTCGGGGCCTCGGCGAGGTGGAAGCCTCATTGTGCTGTGTGTCCGAGGGGAGAGTTTGGTGCGTGGTTTGAACAATTGCCTCTTGGGCTAGAAACCGAGGCCCCCGCCCTGGCGCATGCATTGAGCCTGATGTAAGAGGGAGGCAGGCTGAGATGGATCTGTTCACATCTACCGGGCCCACTTCTACCCTCAGCGCACCTGCTTCTGTGGGCTCCAATGGGAACGGCCTACACTTTGCTGCAGCTGGTGCCTGCCCATGGTACAGCACAGCACATGCAGTAGAGGGTGGGATTTCCAAAAGCACAGGGTACCTTAGGGGGTCATGCCCCATGGAAGGGCATTTGCACCAACTCCAATAAGAGTGCTCCTCATCCACTCTGCCCAGCGGCTTGTGCTGAATCTCCCGTGCTCTGCAAGATCCCCCCCTTCTAGTCTACCCTACTAACTGCACGGAGCTGGATGCAGTACAGATGCAAGAAGCAACTTGCCAGCTCATGCATCCCTTGGTAACAGCAGTCCTGACAGCCAAGCCTCCACAGAGGCAACGAGAAACATGTCTGGAGGGGTCTGCAAATACATGGACCTGACCTATGACCTGCAGTGGGGTTGGGCTTACTTTTGTCAGATGAAGGGACAAAGTTGGCTAAACTACAACATCTGTAAAAGGGAAGGGACTGAGCAGTCCTGTCAGGGAGCTGGGTCAGAGGGGCTGCAACCTGACCCAGTGCCTCAGCATCAGAGCCAGGGTAAAGTCTCTGGAGGTCCTGGTTTCAGGTTGTGCTCAGACTACACCTCTCCAGTGATATATCCCCAGCAAATGCATAGCACAAAACTGCCAATGCAAACCCTCACAATCCTGTTGACCCCAGAGACAAGTGTGCTGGACGAACGTGCCCTTCTGATGGTGCTGGAGAAACTTGGATGACCACAGAGCCCTGCTGCCAGCGATGGCCCCATTGCTTTGCTCTGCCAGTCACCGAGTGGTTAACGTTATGAGACAGAAAACCTGACCCTGACATCAAAACAAAAGTGATGAAATGGGGCCCAGATGGCTCTGACACTGGCTGTCCTCCTGAGCTCCCCAGGAGCTGTAAACACTTTCGTAATACATGGAGAAGTGCCTGGAAGCACGTCAACTTGTTCTCACTTCCCTAACTCAGTGTTTCGGTGGTGCAGGGGTCTATTTCTGGACTGGAGAATGGGTGGGAAGGGCGGCGGGCCCCAGGCTGGCTCATTGTAAGAAGGAGCCTTTCCACCGGTCCCGAGAGCCACTCTCTTCCACTGTGGGCACAGAACCGGACCGTTTGAGCCAGGTGGCCGATCAAAACAGCTCGGATTCCAAATCCCTGCAACACGCCACATGGAAACAGGCTGTGCCCCCAGCACCATTCAGATGAATGAGACAGCGAGTCATTTCCCAGCAACAAATACATGCAAGGAAGACCGATCTGCTTGCAGACGGGCAGTGAACCAGAATGCAGACGATTCCTTGGGAGTTACTCGGCCGGCTCTCATTCAGACAACGAAGCTAAGGATGCTCTGTTTCACTGCCTGCTTCTTACGTGCTAGCCCCAGTCAATTCTGTTTGGGTTTCCAGCACTGCAGGGGATGCTTAAGTCTCCTTGTGAAACCGCTGTTGTTGACAAAAAGAACCATGGAAACACTTCAGGTTGTATTAACCTCCAACTCCCTCCATTTGAACAAAACCTCAAGTTGGCATTGCTGCTATAAATCAAGCTTGCCATGGATGCAGAGGGATGATCTAATCAACTCGGAAGAGCTGCCTTCCAACTCACATAACTGATAATAGGCTTCATTTTTTCAGACTAGGCTGCACAGTGTTTGCTGACCACTGGCCTGTCCTTTTCGCACATGCACCCTGTAATCTAGCGTGACACAAAATTACACCTCTCTGCTGGAATTTAAAGAGTGATTCCACTTTTTAACTGGGAAACCACCAGCCCCTCTGGGCATATCTCCTCCCTCCAGCCAATGTGGCGCATTCACCATGTGTGGAAATCAAAGGGAGAACAGCTGGTCAACGGGATTTTTCTCTTCCTCCTGAAATAAAGCACCTTGTTCGACTGTTTCAACTGATCTCTCCAGAAAGGGACCTCAGAGGCCGGTCGTGCGGAGATGGAGGGAGCTGCACCTCACCTGACTCAGGCATCAGGTGAGGCTTGTGGGGTTTGGTGCCAGGCAGAGCGAAAGAGAAATCCGCCCTAAAACAAAAGGCCCAGGGGTTCCCAAGAACAGGAGTTACCTTCATGCTGCCTTGGGGTGGATTCCCTTGTGGATACTGGAGAACCCCTGTGCAGGTGACTACTGAACGCTGTCCCGTGGGCTGACTGGTGGTCCTCGTAGGCGAGAGGGCTATGGCGAGGCTTTCCAGGCTCAGGCACAATCACCGGGGCTCCCCTGGTAATTGAACCTCCAGAGTTTGTCACCGAACTGGGCCGGCTTTTCACGCTGTCCTCGTAACAAGCCCTCTCCAGGTTCCGCGGGTCCTGCATGACGTCCAGCGAGTGCACAGAATGAAAAGTCCTCCCTGGGCTTCCGATAATGGAGCGGACGTCATGCTTTTTGGCACTTACTGATGAAGGATTGTTGTCGTACTTCAGCGGGGTACCCTGGAGAGAGACAAGGCAGCGCAGAGGTCACAAAAGGAAGCAGGAGAGGAAGGAAGCAGAATGGGAGAAGGTCAGTGGAGCTCACCACGAGCTTTCTTGGGCCATGCTCAGCTTGGGGCATTAGGGACAGGACATTTAAAAATGCCTAGCAACTCAAAGACAAACCTCAATGATCTTCAACAGGACCTGCTGCTTTTAGGGCATGTCTGGGCCACTTGGTACTGGTGTTAGGAAGCTCCAGGCTAAGATAACTTCATGTCTGCTCCAAACACGCTGCCTCCCAAACTGAAAGTAGTATAGTTGCCTTAGCCTAGAGCTCAGTGCACCGTAACTTCTTCTGCCTGGTAACATAACTGGGAGGTCCAGAGCTACCCTTAAGTGCTTTGGAAAATCCCACTCTATGTAAATAATAATGACTATGTTGTCTAGAAGCCCCAGGGTGACATACAGGAGGGGCACGATGCAATTATGCAGCGGGTCAACCTTGGCCGAGTTTCCTGTTCCCTGGGGGAACGGTGGAAAGTCACCATGGGAAGTAACCATCGACGATGTCTGCACCCAGCATGCTCCTTCTACCACGCACCATAGCAATAAGCCAGAATCAACTGTCACAAACACGAATAGCTGCTGTGGAAACGTCCTAAATATTTTGAGTCCGCAACAGGAAATGTGCACCCAGCGCTGGCTCACCAACTCCTAGAGCTGGCCCTGTTCGTTATCACCGACCCAGGTAGGAGGAAAACAATCCTGTTCTCAGTACTCTCTATATAAAAGCCGGAGCCATTCCCAGTCAGCAAATTTACACTGGGTTTAGTGTGACGGCTGTGTTACCAACAGCAGAATGTGACCCGACTAGTTTACACATGCTGTTTCTAACAGAGAGTTTAGAAAGAGGCACTGTTGCTTAGAGGAGCCAGTATTGGGATCATTCATTCAATCTAGTTAAGAGGCGGCAGGTAGGGCTGGTGGAGAAGAAGAGGGGGCCAGACATAGAGAACCTGGATCCGACCACCCTCTGCTTTAGAAAACAGAAGCTTAGCTGATGACACCTCTGTGAAACGACAATTTCTACCCTTCTCCACCCTGAATTTAACTCTGAAAAGTCCTCCAGGAGTCTATGCAAATAAGCTCAGTAACTCAGAGCTTATGGTCATAGTCATGTCCTAAACTCCCCGACAGGGGAATAACAAAAAAGAATCGCTAAAAATTACTGCTGCTGTTTGTGTCGACTTTAATCCCAAGTGGGAAACCTGACTGAAGCTGGTCTTGGGCCCAGCCCTAGCAGAGGAGAAGGGTACATGTCACCCTTCCCCACCCACCGCGCATCATGCCAACCCACCCACTGCGCATACCTGTGTAATGGAGCCTTCCTTCAGAGGCCTTGTGGCTACGGGGATATCAGGTGTGCGCCTTAATTCCTCCCTGGGGATCTCGTGGATTGACCTTCCTGCTTCTTTCACCGTGGCCACCAGCCCCTCGTGGGCTGATTTCATTTTCAAGGGCGTGAGGCCCTCGTGAGGCCGCCCCTTGTAGGGGTCTGATAAGTCCCTTGGTGGAGTGTTTTCTCTCTTGAGCTGCTTGGCTTCTCTTCTGAGGTAGTCCTCATGGGCCTCCACATAGGATCGAGGTATTCCTGCACCCCACCCAGGAAAGACAAGGCTTTGTCATGGGTTTCCAAAAGAAAAAGACCCCAGCGGGCTGATTGCTGTGCTGACAGACCCCATAAAAGCAGTCCCTCACGGGGGTTTACAGGGTTACCGTGCCAAGAGCCCAGGCAGCATCCCCCAGCTGACACTGCCTTGCTCGTGCCACGTGAGATCTGACGCCTGGCACAGAGGATTTTGCAGAAGCGTTTTCTGCTGGTCTGGCTCTGCTCTCCCTGAAGCCATGGGAGAAGACGGGGCGTCCCACCACTGCCTACTACTCTTGCAGCTTCAGAACGATCATTACCTTCCTGGCAGCATCTCCCAAGATCCCCATGTGCTAGCAGTGTCCCTAAAGTATATGGGGAGAATGACACCACCACCAGTAATATGATGAGCAGTGCCAGGCCCATGTGAATGCCTGGTGAGAGCAGGGCCAGGTCCTTGCTGAATGCCTCTGAATATCTCACCCCCTTAGGCAGGTCTGGTTGGGGCCTGTGGACCAATGTGATGGCAGGATTCATGGGCAAGGCCATGCTGCACATCGGAAAAATAATCTCCAGTCGTGCCCTGCTCGTTTCCACCCCAACCACTTCCCTAGGCGAGCTGCATGGCACTTGCCAGACTTACCTTGTGTGATTGAGCCCCGGATATGATGTTGTTCCTTTAAGTTGTGGGGACCGTCGGGGGGGATGGCTCTGCCCATAAGACCTAGAACAAGCCAAAGAGGTAAGTCAAGTCAGGGAGCAGCCAACAGAGACTTGCTCTTTGAGAGCAGGCTAGACAGACACTTGGGCCAGCTGTTTTAGACAAAAATGTTCCTCCTGCCTTGTGCAGGGAGTGGGACCAGACGGCAGCCTGAGGTTTTTCCAGCCCTGGTTTTCAGTGATTAAACTGCTCGCATTTTCACTGTATTTCCAAGAGGCTCTGTACAGAAGCAAGTCATCTGAGCTGTTTCTAGCACCTGGGATGGGATCAGTTCTCAAGGGCTGGTCTGATTCTCCCCTTTTCCCCGATTTGCTTTGTTTTTCTGGAACCAGAACACCTGGGTTGTCAGCTTCCTCTGTTTCCTGGTCACTGTCTCTGCCTTGCAGCCCTGCACTGGTTCAGTGTGGGCCTGCTTGGAAGCACTGCAGTGGAGCACTTAAAGAAGAGCCTGCAGATTCAAAACCATCATTACTTCTTGGCAGTGTCTCCCCAGAGCCCCATGTGCAAGCACCATCCCAAAAGCATACGGGAAGAATCTGACACCACCAACAAAAACATAATCCAAACTAGCCATTTGAGAGAGATTAGCCAAAGTAATTAGAGGCCTGCAATTATCACTCCTCCTTTTTTTTTTTAAATAAACAATTAACCTGACTTTGCCCCCTTGTAATTTTCCCTTGCTCTTAAGCGAATGAAGACGCCACTGTAAGAATGCAGAAGCCACGCAGATAAATGAGACACTTGGATCCCAATCCTACATGTAGCCCCACTGCATTTCACATGCAGACGAGTCACCTACATGCATGCTGTGAGAAGACTGACCCTGGCTTTCCCTTAAATGGGTTCTCCAGCTTGGTATCAGATCAATTACTCCTCATCTTTTGTAGATAAATCTCACAAGGACACTACAAATCCCAATCATTCGTAACAAAAGTCTTCTGGGGAGGGGGTTTTACAGCTAGACGATGCCCCTTTAACACCGTCTTTCGCTGGACTCCCTGAAAATCCCAGCCTGGAGCTCTACTTTAGTGCAATCCAGACCAGTGATCTCCAAACCACAGCTCACAGGTAACATGCTGCCCACCAACTCTGGTACGGCTTGTGGCCAAAGGAAATGAAGAAGTTAAAACTGAGTTGATGGGGAGAGCCAAGTGTGATGCTAGCCACTGGCTCTCACTTGCCTAGGGGCCAGGAAAAGGTAGAAACTGGTGGTCTAGACATGTTTGTAGGGGCATATGGCCACTGTTATTAGGAAGAACGAATGAAGACCTCTTTTGCTTTATGATCCTAGTCATACAAACCTACAATTATGGAGCATGCATGTGCATGCACACATGCATGTATTTGCAAGTCTGCGTGTGTGCCCCTCCCACATAGGGCATTTCAGTCGGGCTTATTTTAGGTGAAGGGAATTAGGAGCAATACATCGCATCCCCATGAGACAGCAAGCATCATGTGCATCTCTTCTGCAACAGGCTGCAGAAAGTCCCCGGACTGCTGATCCGGCACTGCCAAGAGACTCCCCCCCCCGACTTACCTTCGATGCTTGCAGATGACATGTCGCGGGCCGATAAGCCCCGGCCGATCCTCCCCTCCATCATATCGTAGGTCCGTTTGGTACCCGTGGTCTCGTGGGAGCCACCAGAACTCCGGCTGTCCTCCTTGGGGCACTGGGAAGCAGCAACGCCACCTAGGAAACAAAACAGACGCGAAGCAGCCTTGAAAGGGAGGAATGAATGAGCAAGACTGTTTACTGTAACTCAGGCCAGAGGGTCAAGGCCCTTCTGAGCAAGAGCCCAGAGCTCTCACAGCCCAAAGCTTGTGAGCTGTGAGAGCATTACAGCATGGGACGGGGTTCCAGGAAAATCAGCCGTTGCCTCCTCCCTGCCTGCCCAATTCCAAACACTGTGGCCTCATGCTTGGACAAGGGTGTCTGTTTTCCCCACTGTCCAGACATAGTCAGCGAGACATTTGGGAGCAAATCCAGCCCTGGTGCAAGCAGCTGCAACTCTCCCGGCTATTGGCCCCTGGACTCTTGTTTCTCGAGTGTACCTACTGTGTGGGATCCTGTCCAGCCTCCTCAGCAGACACTGGGATATGCTCCCGGAGATAAAAGTAGGCAAAAGGGAAGAAGCAAAGCAGAAAAACACCCAAAGCAACCCAGCGCGTTTCCACGTTCAAGAATCTCATATTATTCCCGTCTGAACCTGCAGCTGAACACGGTGCTCGCAGACAACGGAGAGTGTGAAACATTTCACGCAAAGACAGAGGGCAGCAGAAGTGTGACATGAAGCAACAGGCGATCCCATCCCACGTGTGAGCTTCTCTGTGCTTCCAACCAGACACATTCTCATGCACAATCCTAAGGTCTCCAAATGGCCCAAGCCAACTGGGTGACCAAGGCCGTCTCCTCGCCAGTGCAGGTCTTCTTGCTACAGTCCATGCTGCTCTGCTGCATCCACTCAAACGACGGGCCTCCTATTCGTACCCCCTTGAGACCGTTCCACTGCTTCAAAAATTCGTGATCTCCCCTCCCACTGGATTTGCCTCAGCAAACCCACTGCACCAGTACAATCTTATTTTCTCCATAACGTGCTGCAAGCTGTGAAATTTATACGGCAGTTTATGATGCAGCTGAATGCACGGTGTTTATATAACTAGCTCCAAGCTACAGAGTTGGCTCACAGAGATATATGCTTTGCCCATTATCTCTGGCCCCGTCTATGCAACTGAGGAATGCCAGTGCCCTGATCCTCTTCTTTCATGTACACAGAAACTTGGAATTATACAATTAGAGAAAACACTGGAGAAGACAAGAAACATTTGTTCGGTCACGGAGAGTTTGGGAACAAAAGTTCTTTTCTGTGAAGCCTGTCATTAATAAAATGGGATTATTACAATGCAACACCCACGATCACTTCCTGCAGTCAGCAGGCAGAGGGTATGGGGGCAGATTTGGGGGAAAAGAGGAATCTCTCTCTCTCTGCTCAGATTGATTTGGTAGGAGAAAAAAAAAATTGGTGGCTGATGTTCAGAAAGCAGCCTAGCATCTTGAGACACACGAAGGGGGTAATGTTCCTGTATCCTGTCATCAAGGAACATCTGCTCCAAATTGGTTCTTCTGCAAATAAAAAAACCCAACCCTGTCCCTGGATCTCTTTGTTTCATGGAGAAAAGGGGGAGGGGAAGGGAGAGGAGGGTGCATGGGAAGAGAGAGAGTAAAAAGAAAGAAAATCGCTCCGAAAACATGTCCCTTTCCCCACAGAAGCCATTAGCAATCACATGCAGAATGAGAATAACCAATCTAGCACAATTCAGCTTGCACATGCTACAGGATTTCGTCTCATTAGAGCCCTTTTATTTTTAAGCACCCTCATGACACTGAAGAACTTGCAATTTTTTTCCTCCTTGCCAGAATTCATAATCACTAACCATTTAATTTAATTTTTTTTTTTTTTTTTTTTTT